TTCTTTGGGAACGTTCCACAGGGTTTTGTTCTTATATAATTCCCATTAAGAACGTTCTCGACAGGTTTGTTCCCATTTTGGTTTTGATTTTGAAGCGTTCTTGTGAACAAAACTACAATAACAACATTTACTTTTGATCATACCTTTTGTTCACAGTCCCTTGTTTTTATGAGAATAATAATGTTCAAGATTAAATAGGTTTTCTCAGGCCCGGCCGCAAGGAAGGCTTAAACTACCGCCCCCCCCCCCCCTGTGGAGGGAAATATGCATAAAAATTTGCTGTCATTGTTTTAAGATAATAATGGTAAAGAAAAATTTTAAGATCTCAAATATTTAAGATCTCTTTTCAGAGAGAGTAGTCGAGAGATCTAGGTTTAATTTAAGCCAGGAAGGTTCTATCACCTTTTATTTCTTTGCTAGAGCTTCTAAAATATTGCCAAAAACCGCGATTTTTTGACACTTTGGCCCCATTTTTTGTGCATATGTGTGTGTAATCACCACAAAAAAATCTGTCAAAAACAGCTTTAATATTTGCCGTACCAAAATTTTTTTTTATTTTTAGTGGGCTGTTTTATCGATTAAAAATGAGCAATAATTCAGATTTCCGTTTTTTTCTACAGAAATGTTTCCTTATGTGTTCTATAACACCCTTCGCTCTCCTATTTAGTTATAGTTCTGCAAAATAATTCAATGAATACCATCATGCATGTGCAGTAGACTGCGCCTTATTTTGCAACTTTGTCCTACCAAGCAAGACTCGCCCCAGAAAGGTTCATTTGGTCATAAAACCGTGACCTGCGGAAAATCAATATTTTGCCTATAAGTCAGTGGGAAATTTTATACATTTTAATGGCACTTGATTTAGTTTTGTCCCCCGATGTCAAAAATAGTTGCAGTATTTTTAAAGTTATTGAGATTTTTTTTTAGGAAAAAGCCGTGAGGCCTTTTGAAAAATTCAACATGGCGTCTCAAATATGGCATCTAAACCAACCTTAAATTAGATTTTGCTTTACGAATTTTGGGCCACCGGAGAACCCAACACTAAAAGAGAAAAGTTCCCTACAACTTTGGCATTTCAATAAACCAACCTTAAATTAGATTTTGCTTTACGAATTTTGGGCCACCGGAGAACCCAACACTAAAAGAGAAAAGTTCCCTACAACTTTGGCATTTCAATATGCTACGCTTTTTTATCAGAAATTGTTGAAAAATGGCGAAAACCGTGACAGTGCAAAAATTTTTCGCATGGTTTGCTAATTATTTATAATAAAAAATGAATTTTTTTATAAAGTTTGTATATTAAAAAATGTGGGAAATTAAATTCTCTACAAATTTGTATATAACCGTTTTTTACGAAAAATGCAAAATAAGCTTGCAAATCGCAAAAACCCAAAAAAAACTAAAATCAATACTTTAAAAGTTGGGGAGGTTTAAAAATAGGCTAGCCATATTTGACATCGGGGGGCAAAACTACATCAAGTGCCATTCAAATATATTAAATTTCCCACTGACTTATATATGAAATTTTGACCACTTTGTGAAAAAATTCATGAAAATGCTGGACTTTCGGGCCTTTCGAGGTACGTCTTTCCGTGGTCCGATTAAAAAAATTTTTCGCAGGGCACGTTTTTATGACAAAAGGAACATTTCTAGGGGGAGTCTTGCTTTGTAGCTTAACAATTAAGGCGCAGGCGATCGCACAATGGGCTAGCTTTTCTCAATATCATCGCAATCTGGATGTTCATGTTGACTCATTATTAAAAGAATTTTTATCTATGCCTCGGTGAATTGCACGTGCCTTTTCTTTGTTAAATTATATCCACAATTGAACACAATATGCTGAATACTCTAAATAAAAAAATGATATTATTGGTGGTTACGAATGACTTTCCATGATCTAGTATGTGATCAAACAATAACCATTAGGTGCCAAGGTACGGCGGAAGAGTCATCAATTCAGTGTAGACTGTAGCCTAAAAATGGTTGTGTACCACTCCGAATTCACTGTTCAATGACACGTGACATGAGCAACCACATCGCGACCCGCGTCGAATACTTTCAAAGCTGTGGCGTTTCTGTTCATTCATACGACATGGCTCAACCATGTATCGTTGTAAAGCTCATACTGCTCAACACTTCATCTTCGGCGGTATTCACCATAGGCAAGGCGCAAAGGCCCGTAAATATTCGGCATAATCTTTCTATTGAAAACTCTAAGAGTCCCTTCATTGAAACTAAACTAAATTAGTATGGGGCCACCCATGAGGTACTTTTCAGATAAAAAAACATCGACAGCAGTTCACGTGGGCCAAAGTTAGCCATAGTACATGCCGAGGAATTGAAAACCTCCTTTAATAATTTAATATTTTGCGTCTGGCGCAAGGCAGTAATAGTAGGTAGTAATAGTAGAGCAGCTGATTTGATTTTTTTAAATTACCTGGTGTCTAAACTGTCAAATATTGTAAATTTTTTACGAAAATTCTTAACTTGAAAAAGGATACAAAGTATGCTTTCAAATGTTCTGTTTGACTAAATATTAACGGTTATTTTTAAGCGAAAATACAACCGTCTTCAATGCTCATAAAAATTTAGGAGTACCCTTAAATTCTTCATGACACAATAATTGGAACTAAACGAAATTAGAATGGGACCACCCTTTCCGAACAATCGGCAACGGTTCGAGTGGTACAAAGTTATCCAGTAAAATATGTTTGTGCATAAAAAAATATTTAGATGAATTGTTAACCTTCCACCTTGTTGAAGTCGGTTAAAAATTATTTTCAGTGATGAGTTTCGAACGTCTTCCGGATACAAAAAATTAACGGGAATCAGTATCGTCATCTATGGCGGTTTCCTTCGAAGAAGCCCAATTGAGTTGTCGGTCTTTGGCATGGATGACTTTTCTATTTTTATCAGATTCCAGTTTTCTAAGTCTATTCTGGAATGGGAATGCCTACCTTGGTCTTCTTGCATTTTGTACTGAACTGGTTAATGTTTGGCCGTGAAGTCTGGCAGCATCGTGGGGGACGATTTCGTCAGTAGAGTTCTGCAGTAAAGTATCCAATTGTCCATTTATGTTCGCACGTCAAAACATAACCGAAAGTAACACCAGTCAAGACAGTAATTACACTACTGAGGTCAGATACCGATATGCATATCGTCGGTGATACTGCAAAACGTGCTATGTCACTTATTACCTCTGGTGCGTCTGGCAATCGTTCATCTTCATCAGCCGTTTTGCAGTATCACCGACGATATTTTGGTCTGACACATGGATCATCTGGTTTGGAAGGTCAAGAGCTGCTGTGTGTTCCTCACACCGAGTGGAATATTGATCTAGGAGGGAGGGGTAAGGCGATATTTAAATATGTGCTCAGTAGTCTAACTACATTTTGCAAAAGTAAAACTGTTTCTTAAATAGAAAGCTAGAAAGTTGTTTAGTTTTCCCATGATTTGTTAGGTAGGTTTCACTGATAATTCTACAAATTTCTTAGATTTTACCAGTGAAAAAAAAATTAATTCTAGTGTCTCATCATGTTTCTTGTTTTTATATGTACATACATAAGTAGATAGGCTAATCTAGTTCTCTTGGCCTTACTTATGGTTACGGAGACGATAGCATAGCTATACACACTTTACTTAATTTAATTTCGGTCTTGATTAAACAGTGGCCAGATGAAACCGAGAGAATGTGTTCGATATACATAAGAAGAAAATTTACGTACAAAGATAAATTTTGTCCAAATAATTTCGTTACAGGTGGGTATTCCGTTGGGTCTCGTCATGTTTCAGTCGATCGGAGAACGTCTAAACAAATTCGCGTCGGTGATAATACGTCGTGCAAAACGCTACATGCATTGCACCCAAACCGAGGCAACAGAAATGAATCTTATGTTAGCGACAGGCATGCTTTCGTCCATCATAATTACCACTGGCGCAGCAGTCTTTTCGCGCTATGAGGGCTGGAGTTATTTCGACAGTTTCTATTACTGCTTTGTGACGCTCACAACCATCGGGTTCGGTGACTATGTGGCGTTGCAAAACGATCAGGCGCTGATCAATAAACCCGGCTATGTGGCGCTCAGTTTGGTGTTTATACTATTTGGACTGGCAGTAGTCGCCGCCAGTATCAATCTACTGGTGCTACGCTTTATGACAATGTAATGGGCAAACAGTTTCGTACGCATAAGCCACTACATCAGTGGTCAATCTGTAAAGCGACACTTGCCCGCCGTTATGTGATAGAGACAATGGTGTCGATAATCCACAACGGGTACTTGCATGTGTCGCATTACAGACTGCATATGTACAGATACATATGTATCTATCATAGAAATACATAAGTTATATATATGTACATATTTTGATAGTGTGATTTGAATAATTACTCATTTTTAGGCAAGCTGAAGACGCCAAGCGTAACGAACAGGATGCTCAGCAAGCCGCAGCTGCCGCTGCTGCTATCTCTAGTCAACCGATTGCCTACGATGTCGAATCAAGCAATTTCAATATGCATGGCAAATTGCTAGCTAATTCAAATTATACAACGGAGTACGATGAAACCGTATCAATCTGTTCATGCACATGCCTCGGCGGTACAAGGTGCCTCAATCATGAGACATTCGCTGATCCCGACTTTCGGCCAACTGATATTATTGAGAGTACTTTGAGTCTGAAGCGTGCGTCAGTTTGATATACATATGGGCTCCAACATGGCGACGGGAAAAAAATGTTGCTGTGATTGTCTGCATATCTTGTAAGGTTCTGCCAAGTGTAGGAGATAAACGTTGTACGTTGCCATAAAATATTTTTTTTTTAAATCACAAAGTTTCCGAAATTGGAACATATAGTATGTAGCATGATAAAAACATAACAAGGTAAAATCATTGAGAGGCAGTCTGACGTTTGCCAGCAATAGGTTTGTTCCGCAAGCTACTTGTAGAAAAACTCGAACAAAGTTCAAACTGTCATACTTACAAAAATTTTAGTGAACGGACGTGTTGTGCTATAATATTTTCAGCACTAACGGGCTTTTACAAGATATGTATTTGCATATGTAAATGTAACTTTTTTGTTTGTACCGTATGTACCATATATTAAATTGTATCAGAAAATTTGCATTTACATACGGGGATAAATATCTTGTAAGTACTGTTTCGTTAATGCATTTTTGTATGTTTGAAACATTAATACAGCCATATGCTTACAACAGTAGTACAAGTGTATGGTTAGAGTACGCATACCCACTGAGAAACCACACGTGTTAAATGGAAATGAAGGTTCATTTATACTGGCATGTACATACATATACACAGCAGCAAGTTCATGCCACGAACCGCGATGTCGTATGCATAAAACTTCTACTGGGATAATTTAAAAATTCAAAACTCAAACTCACACCCACGTTCTCATTTTCAATCTCAAACAACAACAATTGTGAACAATTTAATTTTTTTATTTTCAATTTTATATGATTTTAAAATGTCGAATTGAGAGAATGAATTTACCTTGTAATGTTTTTATCGTGATTACAGGCATGATAAAAACATTACAAGGTAAATTCATTCTCTCAATTCGTCGGCCATGATTTTGTTCTGACGTTTGCCAACATTTTAAAATCATATAAAATTGAAAATAAAAAAATTAAATTGTTCACAATTGTTGTTGTTTGAAATTGAAAATGAGAATGTGTGTGTGAGTTTGTGTTTTGAATTTTAAAATTATATTGTTGGCAAACGTCAGACTGCCTCTCAATGGTTTTACCTCATTATGTTTTTATCATGGTTTGTAACCATGGTACAATAATTACTGGTATTGTCTTCCCAGAGAGTTTTGCTTCACATTGAAATTCGTGCTCCCTTATTTTCATTTTGACGCAGTTCAATGTTGATTCTTTACTTTTATTTGGCTTTGCTTTTTGTTTTCGCTCAATTTGATTATTATAATTTTTCAAAACAAAAGAAAAAACGTTTGAAATTAAGTGCCCCATACAAATTTTGAATTAATTTGCAAGCAAATGTTTATTCTAGCTTTTGCAAGATGGTTTTTTTTTTAAATACGTGAACATATATGGTATATGGGGTATGGAAATATCCCTTTTCCCTAACAGTAAACATTTTAATGTGGGCAACAATGATACCTGTAATTATTGTACCATGGTTACAAACAAAATGTATTCAACAAAGTGTGATTGAATTTGATATTGCTCTTAGAGCGTGTGTGAATCGGTAACAAAGTTCGCGGAAAGTAAATTTTTGAAAACCATGAGGTGAATAAAATTTCAGTAGCTCGTGAGGCTAGTGAAATTTTTGACAAATGCATAGAAAATTTTGACAATCGCAAAGATTGTTGATGTGTGCAATTTTTCGTTAAATAAAAGCTTAAATTGATGAATTGCAATCAACGATGGTAGATGTTTTCTTAAAATATTAATTTCACTTCAATTTGTAATATTTTATTCCGCATAAAACTGCGGTTATCAAAAATTTACTGCTGTCAAAAAATAAATCATTTCACACAGCAGATTGGCAGAACTTTGTTACCGATTCATACGCGCCCTTAGAAGAAAAGTCAAATAGAAAATTTTTTTTATAAATTTTGAATCACTTGTTTATTTTTTTGGCATAATAGTACCTTAAAAGAGACCCTACCTGAGTTGTCAATCACACCTTGTTTAATACATCTTGGTTATAAATGTTTTGTTGAGAGAAATATATTTAGCTGACTATTTTCTCAGTGTAAGAATAGAGAAGAAATGCGTTGCATTCCCGTTGTCCTATATGTATAAAGGAGCTTAGAAATTAGTATGAAACTGACTAGGTCAATGGAATCACCTTTCCCCATATGCAGTAATATATGTACATACATTCATGTTACTATAGTATGGAAAGGGCGTATCTCACATCGTCGCTGAAATACAAAAAAGCCACAACTAACTAAAAAATTTAATTGCATAAAAAGATGTGGGTACTTATAATTCGATGAAAAGCATCATATTCAATAAAAAAGTGAATTTTGGATTTTTAGTTAGTCACGGCTTTCCATACTATACAAACCATATGTATGTATAATGAAAGAATAAAAAATTTAATACATTGAAATTTGAGGAATGTAAGATGGCAAATAACGAATTTGGAATTACTTCTGTAGAGATTATTTGGAGCAAGATCTCAAGCAAAGCAATGATTACTTTGAGTCCGAAACACTCTCATTCTCGTGCATGTACCGTAGTCGCAGTAACATTGCTCCGAGAATTCATTCATAAAATCGTATATTTCAGATTTTTTCACATTAAACATATTTCGAAAAGGTTTCAGTCAGGCGAAGGCGTATTAAATAATTCGATTCTTAAATTGCAAAAATACTCTTATTTTGATTTCGCCAATGTGTTCTGCATGTCCACAATAACAGCGACGAGAAGTACGCCTTGATCTGGTGTTAAATTGCCAAACGGTCAATTATTAAAAGTCGCAAGGGTCTGGTTGAGGCCGTCGGGATTTTCTCGAAAAAAAATCTTTGGAACTATCGTTTTCAAACCAAACGTACCTACAAGAGCCTCTGTATTTACTAGAGCTCAAGAAAACATTAAGGCTTAACATAAGCAGCAGCGACAGCGACGTTTTTACACCCACTCCATCCTAAAAAGCAAGTAATTTAAGGGCCGTGTATAGTTGGAGTTAGCACCGCCAATAAATATGCGGGAAATTGTACATATTCAGGCCGGGCAATGTGGTAATCAGATTGGAGGAAAGTTTTGGGAAGTGATATCTGATGAACACTGCATCGATGCCACTGGTACCTATTATGGCGATAGCGATTTGCAGCTGGAACGCATTAACGTCTACTATAATGAGGCGACAGGTGCCAAATATGTACCTCGAGCCATTCTTGTCGACTTGGAACCGGGCACCATGGATTCGGTACGCTCTGGCGCCTTCGGGCAAATCTTCCGACCAGATAACTTTGTGTTCGGCCAATCTGGCGCGGGCAACAACTGGGCCAAAGGCCATTACACAGAAGGCGCTGAGTTAGTCGATTCAGTTCTCGATGTGGTAAGGAAAGAGTCTGAAGGATGTGATTGCCTACAGGTTTGTATTTTAAATGCAAAAGAATTATACTTACCCACTATAAGCATTAAATTGCACTTGCTTTCATGTTTTCTCTTGTAATCTCTAGGGATTTCAGTTAACGCATTCTCTTGGCGGTGGTACCGGTTCCGGTATGGGCACATTGTTGATTTCGAAAATTCGGGAGGAGTATCCCGACCGTATTATGAACACATTTTCAGTTGTACCTTCACCTAAAGTGTCTGATACTGTAGTGGAGCCCTATAATGCCACACTCAGTGTGCACCAGCTGGTGGAAAATACCGATGAAACATATTGCATCGACAACGAAGCTCTTTATGACATCTGCTTTCGCACACTCAAACTAACCACACCAACATATGGCGATCTTAATCATTTGGTTTCGGCCACAATGTCTGGTGTTACTACTTGCCTTCGCTTCCCTGGCCAGCTTAACGCAGATCTACGAAAGTTGGCTGTGAATATGGTGCCATTTCCACGTTTGCACTTCTTCATGCCTGGTTTTGCACCATTAACATCTCGTGGATCTCAGCAGTATCGTGCACTTACCGTGCCAGAGCTAACGCAACAAATGTTCGACGCTAAGAATATGATGGCTGCTTGTGATCCCCGTCATGGTCGTTACTTAACTGTGGCAGCTATCTTTAGGGGTCGTATGTCTATGAAGGAGGTTGACGAGCAAATGTTGAATATCCAAAACAAAAATAGCAGCTTTTTCGTGGAATGGATTCCAAATAATTGCAAAACCGCGGTGTGTGACATTCCTCCCCGTGGTCTAAAGATGTCGGCCACATTCATTGGTAACTCAACAGCCATCCAGGAATTATTTAAAAGAGTTTCCGAACAATTCACGGCAATGTTTAGACGCAAAGCTTTCTTGCATTGGTACACCGGAGAGGGCATGGACGAGATGGAGTTCACCGAGGCCGAAAGCAACATGAATGATTTAGTTTCCGAATACCAACAGTATCAAGAAGCGACCGCCGATGAGGAAGGCGAATTCGACGAGGATGAAGAAGGAGGTGGTGATGAATAACAGCTGGATCATATTGACTGACATGCAGAGAGTTGGCCATAGGTCGTGAGTGAGGAGTTTTGATAAATTTTAACGCTGCGTCTTGTGCGCTCTATAATAGCATACATATGTATGTGTGTAAATTTGGATTGTGATATTAGTTTTTACTTTGCTCCTCAACAAGGAAATTGTGTTCATGATATTCGATTCTAGTGTGATTTATTTTCCCTAAAATCTTTTTGAATAATCTGTTTATATAAACGACTAAAATACATATGAATTACATTTGGATTGAATGTACCAAATTAGAAAGATTGTTTGCATACATACATACATTTGTGCTCTAATATTGAATCCTATAGAAAGTTCCAAGCGAGCAACATTTACAGAAACATTTGGGTACATTCCTCCATAGTTGTATTTGTAGACATTCGAGGATACCTACACTGACGGGAAAAAAAATTAAAATTAAAAAAAATCCTGCTAAATTTAAAAAAATACGCATACGAAATAACACCAACCCAACTCGTTTTAAATTTGAGTGTGTACACTGAGGGAAAAAATTTTAGAATTAAAAAAAAAAACGTGCTAAATTTAAAAAATACGCATATGAAAGAGCACCAACCCAACTCGTTTTAAATTTGAGTATGTACGTTATAAAATATGTCGGTGCGAAGTGCACAGAAGCATTTTCGTTATACGAAATTAAAATTAAAAAGAAAAAAACTGAATCTTACGTTCCGTCCCGGACGCTCGTGGTAGCAACCAATTGTATCAAGCGTCTTTGCACACTCAGCTACAGCCATACAA